GTTGTTCTTGTTAGTTACTTATAGTTTTTGTCAACCAGCATCAGAAGTTTCTATGATTTCTTGGAAAATAGCCTATATTATTTATAACTAAACTAGCTTTTGCCCGCGGTTTTACCCGCGTTAAATTTAGTTGGTCACAGATCGTCATAAATTATAGCCTATATGTTATTCTGGGTTATAAACAATAATACTGTAAAGTTTCATCAAAATCCGTTCAGTAGTTTTTGCGTGAAAGAGTAACAAACATCCACACGAACTTTCGCATTTATAATATTAGTAGGATAAGATATTGTCTTGTGTAGCTTAATGTGCCAAGGTCAAATTCTACTTTCTCCCCCCACAACTAGCATGTAAATATCAAATGTAAAAGCCGATTTGAAAACATTATCCAAATAAAAAACTGTCTGTGTGTGATTTTTTGCCGACACCAACAAAAATGAATGAATTTTTCTGAACTCTACATTTATCAATTAAAATAATTTTAAAATTCCATTGCCTTTCCATCGCCAGGAGTGCACATAATTCATTAGTTCGCACAAAAACAAAAGGCAAATGTGGTAAAAATACGAAAGAAAGATACAAAACGTAGTCGGCCACTAATTGGACGTGCGCACATTATTAATTAAAGTTTTTAGGAAAGTAAAATATACAGTGAGCGAATTGTATACTTAATTAATTTTAAGGGTCTTTTTGTAGGCCTAAGGGAAAATTTATAGTTTGGTTATAAAAAGCAACATAAAGCTACAAGGAAACCAATATTGGACTAAGTTCCCATAGGTACAGTCGTAATAACTTTTTATTATTTACTTTTTGACCCAATAATAGCTTCTTAAATGACTACAACTTTATTATGCAAGATCATTTTCAAAAATATACCTGGAAACTTCAAAGCTTCGTGCAAACGAAAAGGGGTTATCTGCTATAAAGTAAACTCGTCACACTTTTGTGAGCATTAAATATAATTTATTTAAAAACAAATTTGTTATAAACATGAATAAGCATACGTTAAACCACGAGACAATATTCAAACAAAAATACGTATAAAAACATAATAATTAATCTAAGAAATGCGAGTTAAAATATCTAGTGCAAATCCAATCTAAAATATCTGTCTGTGTCTGTAGCCATAGAGTTCCCCCAATTTAAAAACGAATTCGAAAATTCGCACAAAATGACAGGTTAGATAATATAACTGTGACGAATTTATTGACTTATTTTCCATGTGACCAGTTTACGAAAAAGTCTATAACCCACGAAAAACACAGACGAGTTGTGATGTGACGTAACAGCGCTCGCTGGCATCACCGCAAGTTTAAGGTCAACGTACAGGGACAATGCCGTTGATGTAACGCCGAATAACACTACGTTACGCGCCGGCGCATACGGGCTGGTGGCACAATGGGCGCGATGTATTTTTTAGTCTTTCAAGGGCTGATTTTTCAATCGTCGGATAACTTTTAACTGAAGAATAAGTTCGGCACATTGACAGTTTCAGTATGGGAAATATGTCAAAATAAGTTAGTACTATACTCGTACATTAGCAAAAAGGTGTATATTCGGATATTTTCGTACTCGTACGAAGTATTTTGACGTTTTTCTGGTCCCATGTTGAGCTATTAGCTCTGTTTTTGGCTTCAAATTGAAGAACTCAATGGGGCCTATCGATTGGCATTTACAGGCCTGAAAATTTTGAGTTTTGACTAGTCTATGTGACACGTTAACTTAATAATATTGATTATTAAGTTGTCAATAACTTATTTATTTGATTGCGAGTGAAAGGAAATACTCGCCTGTAATTCAGCACAGGTGTTTATTTTTTATATGTTTGTATTTATTTTGTGACAATTCTGTGTTAAATTAAAATTTTGTGTCAATCAGTCTGAAAAAAATGACCTGCATAATTTATATTCTGCGCTCACTGTGTCCCTGGCTTTAAACAAACCGCGTATCAGCTCTTTAGTTTTTAGCACAAAATTACAACATTTTATGACGTAACGGTACCCGCTCAGCTGATGGACAAACCAATGGAGTTTTTATTATTTTTATGCGTATGGTTGAGTTTCTATCAAGTTGACTAAAATTGAAATTTTGAACCAATTATTGAGAGCGTAACCCAATAATTACAATGCACAATTGCTCTAAAAATCTACATTTCAGCCCTGTACCTCTAGCATGAACAACTTTCGTCTTCGAATCGTTTGCGTATTCGACAAAACTCGCTAATCATCCTTCGAATTAAACGATAATGTGTCAATTTTGATTCTCAGAATAAGTTTCGTGCGACCATTTTTCATACTAAGTTCACTTTACGACACGTTCACAAGCGCGCAGTTGTAGTTTTCGTACTAAATCTTTTGATGGCGATTCGAATACGCAAACGATTCGAACTCGAAAGTTTTTCGTGCTAGCCGTCCTGAAAGCAAGATTAGTTCTAAAATAGTTCTAAAATAATAATACAAGTTGCAAAAAAAAAAGATTAAATTGGCTCATCCGTTTAGAAATAACGATGCAGCAGGCAGAAACACATTTACATACGTCTAACTCGTTCGTTCGTTTCAGCCAAATGACGTCCACTGCTGGACAAAGGCCTCCCCCAAGGATTTCCATAACGACCCGTCCTGCGCTGCCCGCATCCAGGTACTTTCCGCGACCTTCATCACCAGATCGTCGGTCCAACTCAAATCCATCTGCTACAATCATATTTTTCTATTAATAAAAACAAATGGCGGCTAAAGATGGGATGACATGGGCATGGCTATCAAATTTTCTCGGAAGTATCACTTCGGCACCATATGTTATACCGCTGAAGTTGTGGTTTTTACATCCCAGAGAATGATATTTATGAACAAAGTTTATTTATTTATTTATATGCGTACGGCCATCCATCCATTCCCCTACTGCTATGTTGGTTGCATAACCTCAGGTATTTGTATTATTATAGAGCTAACAGGGTTGAAAGCCTCCTTATCAACATAAGTATAATATACGATCAAAATAATTCTTAAATTATACAAGACGGAATGTCGTCTTTCATATGAAGTATTCGCACAATTTTAGGGTTTCGTACAAGTTTTAAGAAGAGAACCATGACAGTAATCCTCAAGTTTATAAATTGAAACTTTTATCATAAGACTATTGTTTATTTTGAAAGTATATTATATTCTAAGGCCTATTAGTTTACTCACAACAAATCTATAGTATAAACATTAATCGTAAATTGTGTTGGTAAGCGCAAACTCAACAATGCCTGGACCAATTTTACCAATTCTTTTTTTTTAATAATGGTTGAAGTCCAAGGATGGTTTTTACGGCGAGATTTGCAAAATTCAACCCCTAAGGAGGTAAAACGGGGTCGACGCGTATGAAGTCGCGGGCGGCCGCTAGTGTACTCAAAGTCAAAGTCAAAGTCAAAATTTCTTTATTTGTTTGGACTAATAAATAGTTCTTACAAATCGTCATTTTGCTCTTAAGGAGCCTCTACATGTCTCATAATCTTTTTACCCTACCAGTACTACTATAAATTGTACAGGATGACCCAATGGTGGGAGATCAAACAAAAAGCATTCTAATGCTCAAATGCAAAAACTTTATACGGGGCCATATTGTTTTGCTGCAAGATAAAACAGCTCACACTTATCCGGTTTTTTGTCCCATACGCGTTAAAAGCAAGGTCTTTGAGTTGTTAATGTTTGTTTTCGCCAGAAAACTCTTTATTGCGTAACGGTGTACCGCAAACCCGAAACCAGCATTGCATTTGTTAAGCTAACAACACACTGTCGTTATACCAAACTCACAAAGATAGGTCCCCATAATTGATGCTTACTGTCCATGGTGTATAACTTTTCTTACAGATTACTTATACCTTTATTTTGTCTCTTATTATATCCGCTTTGCACTGGAGGAAAGTCGATCGTAACTTCGAACTCCTCCTGTGTTCTTCTGATTAATTTCGTTGCGGGTCCAATGACAGTTTGACTTTCCCCCGGGACAAACTTGACCTTCATTAATTGGCTTTTTCTCGGTGGTCAAGCAGTTGATCCTAGAGTTGCGTTGCAGCAACAGTTACTGTTTAGTAAGTTTTTACATCCTTTTTGTGGTAGAGTCCCTCTACCTCAACCACATTCCAAAATATTATACTGTTAATTAAATTACGAGTAATTAAATTACAAGTAATTACGAGCCTACTAACCAGCATTATTAATCCGAGATGAGAAGTTTGTTAGTGTGACTGTACCTTTAGCTTTACGAAGAAAAATTCTGATTGTTTTTGCAAATATTACGCATACTAACGGTTGTTTAAAAAAGAAACACGAGTGACTTAAGAGCCGTACGAATGTTTTGATTCTTGCCTCTTTTTCGCAGTTGACAAATCAACGTTTCAAATAAACGTGTTTTTCCAATGGATTTTGTACCGTATTTTAATGATTATCTTCAAATAACTTATGGATATTTGTTTATACGCTGACAACTGTATTTTGTTTCTTTTTTCTTTGTTATATTTTTAAAAACCTGCCAGTAATTAATTAATGAATTTGTAAGAATATGTTTGAAATAGCTTACGATATTTTATTATAACTTTCTTTCAATAAATGCAAGTCATTGCAAAAATACAAGAATTTGTTTGTCACTATGATTCCATACTCTCTCTCATTTCAATACCACTATAATTTCTGAGAGCAAAGTAAACCCAACGTATTCCGCTCAAGAGAAATTACATTTACTCGTAAATGTTCAAGATAAACATAGTAACAGCTTTTATCAAAATAGATCCCAAATCAATATTATTACAGACCTAGGAAACATATCTAGATTATTGCGTAATCTGTTTCAGCCTAGTCAACATTGTCATTCAAAGGCAAACGAAGTGCACTGCAAAATTCATAGCAACCGTTTAAAGTAAGGCTGTTTTATGAAGTCCCTTGGAAATCCGGACCACCCTTAATGCCAAGAATATTGACTATGGAACATATAATCTAACCAAACTTTTTTTTTCTTTCCAGATGTGACTACGCCCACGATGGCAGCCACAGATGGCCAGATCGTGGTAGCCGCCTCCCGCTGGGCGGATGAAGGCAACTATCTCCGAGAGTTCGCTGCCAAGCATCGCCTCCCCAACGTCGCCAAGATCATCAAGGGCCAATATGGCGGCCTTGGCGTCCCAACCCTCCCAAGTCCCAGCCTCCAAAGCACAGCTCTTCTTGTCTCCGCCGGAAAAAGAAAGAAAATCATCGCCCAAGCCATCAAACTTAAAGAGGGACGACGGATGGTCAGTGTAGGACCAAGGATTGCCATCCCCGACTCTTACAAAGGGTATTTTGAGCTACTAAGCGAGGAAGGCAGAGCTGTCAGGTGTATAGAATCGGTCGCCGAACTAGCCAGAAGAAAACTAGACGATGGATGCCTTGTCAGAGAACCTATCAGAGTGATCTGCGCTAAAACAGATCTAGATGGTAACGTGACAGCAGATGGGGCTAGAAACCTGCCCGCGGGCGAAGTCATCATGCCGAGAGGCGAAGTGTTCTTAGGTAAAAGTAAATATTTAAAATGCACTGACTCCAAAGGAGACACGGTGCTGTTGAGCCAAGACCAGAGAGGAAAGTTCTCAGCCATTGCCAAAGAAGAGAACATCAGCGGAGTGCACACAGCGAAGACGTTGCTGACGAAGAGACTGCCCATTACAGTGAGGCTTGTACACGGAACTCCTCCAAGAGGCCTGAAAAGTTCCAACCATTTTGTACCAGAACTGAGATTGCTGTCCATGTTTGAAGAAGACCACGTCTTCGCGCTGCCGCTCCAGAAAGAAGGCAACGCTCTCATAGCGCTCCCCTTAGCCGCTCCTCTGAAAATGCAAAGATGCAAAAACGAGGAGCAGATCAAAAACTTCATGGAATTCTCTAGATTAGTCGAAAAGTGCAATCGATTGCTCGTAGACGTTGTCGACAGGATACACGTACTAGACGGAAAGCTTGGTGACCCCAAAAGATTACTCAATGCCCCATTACACGCTCCACCGTTGATCAAAACTGGTTACTTCCTCCGGAGAAGTGCGTCTTCAGATACTGCCAATCAGCATAAGCATATAACGCGCCATAGTCATATTTACAGCAGCCATAGAGACGAGAACAGCATCCCAGATGAATACGATGAAATAGACCAGATCTACGACTACGTTAGAGGATTTGCTCCACTGCCGAAGAATATCAAAGCATCATACTCCAACGAGCCAAGTCGCCACGAGTCTGCTCCGTCTTCACCAGCGCCCACGCCTATTCATATGCCTTTAATAACCGAAATCAAACCAGAACCACCTCCCATAGAGACCATCCCTACAAAAAAGCCTCAACTCTGTCAAAAGGCAGAGAAAAGAACTCGCAAGGCAACAGTTCCAATAAAAGAGACACCAGTAACAGTTTACAAGGAAAAGTGTTCGATTGCACCAGCTCCGAACAATTTGCCGAAGCTGTTCATCAAGAACAATATAAACAACAACAAAAGCAGGATGGTGTTCCGGCAGAAAAGCAATTCTCCGACCAAGGAGAGTCCTAGTCCTATAGCTAGTCCGGTGCGTCCGTTAACGAAGGGTGATTCTCCTATCTTCAACATAAGGTATAAAAGTCTATCGAATATCCACCAGGCGATGGAATTAGACGGGACCTTAGACTCGAGCCATTCTGGTGGCAGGACTTCTGGGGATTCTGGGAACGGGCCGAAGTTGCCAGAAAAGAGATCCAGGAAGCTGAGCAGGCCTAAATCCTTGACGAACCTGGTGTGGGAGCTGAAGGGCTGTCCCGTGGAACCGAATGAGAAACCAAAATGTAGGGTTAAAAATGAAAGTTACAAGAAAATGGGCACGAAGTTATCGCTGGGAGCACAGAAGAGGGTGCCGACGCTGTATCTCTGATTTCTTGGTAAGTATTGTCGTTTTTAACAAACTAATTATTTACATTGACCCGTTATAGCTTTTTCAAATTAGACATTTTGAGGTGAACGTTTGTCGTCCGTTTGCAGGACCGCACACTGAAATTTGTATTACAACTGCGTTGGAATAAAAATGACAATCAATTACCAACAGAGTGTGCGGCCTCGCAAACACACGATACGACTGACGTCCTGCTCAAAACGCCTAATTTGAAAGAACCCTCATCCAGCAATTTTATTCAGAGCTAAAAGTATTTTTCTGTAAATAATGTCATAAACGAGGCGAATAAAAACACCTGTAGATAAGATATTACCACTGTACTTATGTAATCCGCATTCGTGTTATCGAAACAATCTGTTAATTAACTCTTAATATCTGCATTTAGCCATTTTTATTCAAATCACAATGTAGGTTCATAGATAACTCGGTGTGAAATATAGATAAGGCTTCAAATGATGCTATAAACACTTTTAATCATAATTAATTTTCGAATTTTTTAAATCATCTCTAATTAAAATTATATTGATAGAGAGAGAGATTTATAGCGCGTAGTGTTTTATTTCATTAATATAGTAGCTTTAACATTTATACTGTTTATAGAAATGCAATTTGTTTATCGTCTTCACCATTCGGTACATTCAAGATTCCTCAACTGGTATCGGATGGCATATCACGAGTTGCGGTTGCGAAATATAAAGATTCAAGCGATTTATGCTCACCCTATCTCTATTGAAAATGCTCATCGGTGGCTTACTGTTATGTGGAAATGCTTTGTTAGGGCCACACCACACTATACAAAAATCAAATCAAAATCAAAAATATTTTATTCAATTTTGACCACTGGTGGCACTTATGAACGTCAAATACAGTAAAAATAGCCCTAAAGGGGCACTTTACTTGTCTTATTATCTTTTGGGCCCTACCAGCGCTTCGAGACAAACATATGGCAAGTGCTGAGAAGAAACGCCGGAACAAACGACGACTGGTTAGTGAAACACATTGATATGTGCCCGGATCACGGCGCAGTGAATGGTTGACATACTGACAGCCTATGGAGTCTTTGGACAGGTTTCCAAAACGGTTGTTTATTCAATTTTGACCAAGATTTGGTAAATTATAAATAAAAGATTTGTTACTTATGAACATAAAAAAATTAACCCTTGATTGACTTAGTCTTTTCTCTAGTGCTAAGACGAAGCCCCGAAACAAACTCGTAGAGGTCCTCGGAATAAACTCGTGTCATTATCAATGACTTAATAATAATTACCTCTAAAACACAGACTTTCTTTAAGTCTGGAAATACCTTTTCCATTGTGCCAGTTTCCAATGAGAACTTTAATGCCCTTCTGTCTTCACAATACACATTTTTTTTAATTTAAGTTCGCATTTTGCGACTTTACTTCACTCTATGTTCCATGGTAAAGGTAAGCGTGGTTTGACCCTTACAGATATTTATTGAGACATCAATGCCTTTAGCTATTTTCTCATTGTAAACATTCGTTCGTTCGTTCGTTCGTTTCAGCCAAATGACGTCCACTGCTGGACAAAGGCCTCCCCCAAGGTTTTCCACAATGAACGGTCCTGCGCTGCCCGCATCCAGGCTCTTCCCGCGACCTTTACCAGATCGTCGGTCCACCTAGTAGGAGGCCTGCCCACGCTACGTCTTCCAGCCCGTGGTCGCCACTCGAGAACTTTTCAGCCCCAACGGCCATCGTCTCTACGAGCTATGTGCCCCGCCCACTGCCACTTGATTTTAGCAATTCTGCGAGCTATGTCGGTTACTTTGGTTCTCCTGTGTAAACATTAACATTAATTATTATTATACACAGAACTATGAAGATTTTATTAGCAACATTTTAAGGGGGGGTTTTGTTTTGCAACAAACGCCCGTATTTACAAACATTACTATGAGGTCTCACAGTGCGGTGGACGCACAGGGTGACACACGAACCAATCGCAGAGCTCTTTTCAACGCTGTGCGTTTGATTTGCAGCTTCACTTAAGCAAGCATCGTTTGTGAATACGGGCGAAAGTCTATTCGTCACACCTTTGCAAGAAAATTCGTCATAAATGTAAATAAGTTCACGTCAAATTGACATAAGAAATATATGAAGTGTGACGAGTTTAACATGCTTTTCTCTATGAGTTAACTGTGCCAAATCGACAATAAAGCTTTAACCACACCAAGGCGTGCAGATCCTTTGATCAGATCCAATGACAGGTCGCGCGACCCATGACAGTTCACGCGACCTGTCATTTCCCTATGATCGCGCCGTAAGGCAGGGTACTCATTTGCCATGTAGCACGTAACGTAGCATGTAACGTGTCCAACCTTGAAGTGAGTAGGGCTCGTCCACGGTCATCGCGTATCTGGCTGCGAGCTCCTGGATCCTACTGCGAGCCGCCTTTGTGCGAACCACGCGCGAGCAACTCGCAGCGGGCTCGTGCCTATGTACTCACTTGATACAGTATCTAAATATAAATGATTTTAATTCTTAGATTTTACTTAATGTGTAATATGTGTATAGAATTAAATTTTTAGTTTAAATATAATTTGTATGTAAGTGGATTGTTTATATATAATAATGATATGTATTTTGCTAATGATAGTTAATTAAAGTATAGTTAAGCCTTTATTTCGCCTGAGATACAGGAATAAATTTCCTAGTTCAGGCACATGTATAAATTTTACCTTTTGTAGCATAAGATTAGCCTAGAGTTTAAACTGTCAAATAAGTTATACAATAAAAAGAAAAAAAAATATGTATGTATAAAAGGAGAAACTGACTGACTGACATATATCAACGCACAGTCTAAACGGCTAAACGTAGGCACTTGAAATTTGGAAGGGACGTAGCTTAGGTACCGTAGAGGTGCACTAAGAAAGGAATTCCTGGAATTCCCACGAGAACGGGAATTAGAGGGAAAATCCTTTTGTATGAAAAATCTAAACCGCTTAAGTTAGACGCTTGAAATTTGGCACGCAGGTACCTTAGTAAACTTAAAGCTTAGTTACAACAGGATATTGCAAAATTCCCACGGGAACGGGAGTTAGCGGGAAAAAACATTTGTATGAAAAAATCTAAACCGCGTAAGATAGATGAAGGGGGTAAAACGGGATCCACGCGTACGAAGTCGCGGGCGGCCGCTAGTCTGATAAATTAGATAGATAGATAAAACGTTTATTGCATGTTACATTACATGCTACACGGCTAGATGAGTACCCTGCACGCGTTGGTGTGGTTGAAGCAGAACCAGGCCTGGCTCACTCCGCGCGGTACATCCGATAATTACCTACAGCGAAGCGCCCCGCCGGCGGGTATTATATCAGTCGAGTGTCACGCGCGCGCTCGTCAGGACGCTGGCGTGCGTTGTAGTATGATTATAATTCTATGATCGAAGTATTATTTAAAAATGGACATAAAGAGAAAGAAATATTGTGCGGCGTTCGGGTGTTTAAATTCGAAAAGTAATCTACCGGATTCATCTTTTTTTTTTCGCTTCCCAAAGATGCTGAAAGGTATGTTGGCCACGTGGGTAATCAATAATTCTTAGGATAGTATAGGAACCTAACCTACTATGACTACTGCTCAGAATGCGTCACTGCTGGACAAAGGCCTCTCCCAAGGTTTTCCATAATGAATGCATACTTACCTACATAAGTACCTCATTACAAATAAGTAGATTAATATTTTTTCACTAGACAGCAACCCTAACTGCGTAAGAAGAGTTCAGAGGCACGCGATAGAAAGAGACAAAACTTGTAGGTGAATAAAATTGTAGGTTCGTAGTGCTGTGCGAGCTGAATTCCACTGTATCGCGGCGCAGCAAGACTCGCATTTATTTAAATCGTCTTGCGGAGTAATCCTTCTGTACCTGTACTATTACTTATTCTGTGGCAGAACCCATTTTAGTAAACACATTACGTGTAAAAAACAAGCTACTAATAGAAAGGTATAAACTAAAGATTTAATTATAAAATAATGATGATTAAATGTACATTATAACTCACTCAGTGTATTGTTTAATTATACTTTCAATATGGAACTTGTTGTTGATTTCACGAGCCATTAAGCATCAGAACATCCAGAAAAGGTTTCTATTCTTCACGTTTTTTAGTTTTTCTGGTTTGATAAGGAAATAAATATGTTTTTATTTAATATTAAATTACACTCGCTTTTTGTGTTACAAATCTATTTCTAAGTTAACTCTGTAAAAACAAAACAATCGATTGGATCATCAACAGTTAAATGTGTAAACTAACTTGAAACTACCATAAAAACCGTTCAACTACGCAATTAATTGTAAAATAGAAGCTATTAAAACTACAATAAGATGCTACAGTGATTACCTTGATGTACACACATACATACATACATACATATTATGTTATAGTCAAAACTCATAATCGGTCAAAACCCGATTTTGAATAACATCCTTGGTCAAAACCACTTTTGAGTGGAAAAATCAGTCAATAGTGATATTGACCAAGGGCATCAGTCAAAACCATTTTTGACTGATTATTGCAGTCAAAAGTGGTTTTGACCGATTATGAGTTTTGACTGCAACACATACACAGGATAGTTTTTATCCCGGTTTTTAAAGAAAAACACGCGCGCGTTTATGTCTTTTTGTAACAGGTAAAAATTATCCCGTTCGAAGTCGTGGAAAAAGTGAAAATAAGTAAACACTCATGTCTTTTGCTGTCTCACATAATAACATCTGTACGGATTCGGTATAAAGATAGCTATTTTATTATTTTTGCTTTGTAATATCAATGTTTATCATTTAGTACCAAATAAATATTTTTTCTTTCTTTCTTATTTAAAAGTACAGGAAAAAAATAGGATAGATTTTATCCCGGTCCTTAAATATGGATACGTGCGCGTTGATGTCTTTTAAACCTTAAGGCCCGGTTTCCAAAGCGGAGCGGAGAAGGTTTGAGCCGTCAATTTTTTTTATGAGAGAGGAGAAGAGAAGTAATAATGA